CGGCGGGTAGTGTCGATTGCGTTTTGCGGCGCTGACATTTCTCACAAACCGCAACGTATCTTCTGACTGAGCGTGCAAACCCTGGCTAGAAGAAGCGTCGGCGTATTCGGTAGTAAGTGCGTGAGACACCAAGGTGACCAGCAGTCGGAAGGTCTGGAAGTTCATTTAAAACTTCCGTGCAAAAGTGTTTCGGAATGACAAGCAGCAGGGCCGGTCCATCCTGCTTTAAATTTTTGTGGTATAATACACCATCGTGGAGCACGAATGAGTGATGGGACTGATTGGAAGATGGTGATTCAAGCCGCTCAATGATAACACGCAAGGACGAATCACGGCACTGCTCGTCACCGATGCATGCCAATTGCGAAAGAGAAAAGACGCAAGGGCCGGTGTCGGTGTCAAGTATAGGGTTCGACTCAGCAACCGGGCAGCGGGACAGACAGTCTGCGTCCTGATGTAGGCGTCCGGACTTGTCCGTCACCGTGTAGGTATACTCTTGCAGTCGCAGAGCTCAGCGCCCGAGCCGGCCAGTAGGGTCCTTCGGTGACGTAAGCCAACATATCGCATGATGGTCAGTTATTACAGAGAAATTTGTGCCGTATTAATATGGGCGGAACTTTGAGACTGCCCAAACAAGAGCAAGACACTCACGCTTTGTAATGAAATAGTTGCACTCAGCAGCTGTGAGGAGGCGGCTAGCGCAGGCGACAACTCGTTCGTGTCCCCGTTGACGTTGGGCTAAAATGCTCCAATCCCGTGACCACTAGCATCGGTTCGGACTTCTGTCGGAGCGGATAGGTCTAAGTGAGCCAATATAGGTGGAGTCGTCAGAAGCGTGATTAGATGAGAAAAAGCTGCAGCTTGCTTGGTACCTCCAGGTAAAGGTGACGTCTTTATTCAGAAGCTCAGTGAGAGGTCGAGCGATGGTTGCGAAACCTTTCACAAACCTTCTATAGTACGAGCAAAGTCCTACCAAAACTCCGGACGACATTGACTGACCGGGGTACAGGAAAACTGGTGACTGCACGAATTTTCTCCGGGTTCGACTGCACACCAAATGCGTTACCAAGGTTGCCCAACACTGTAATTTGCCGGCGTCCGAAGTGGCACTTCGACGAGTTTAATCGAAGGCTTGCAGTGCGGAATATGTCGAGAATAGCTGACAAACGCTGAAGGTGGTCTCAAATGTTGGGGAATATACAACATCGTAAAGATAAGAGAGACATGTTGACCATTTGAACCCTTGAAGCAGAGAGTCTATCTTGCGCTCGAAAGTGACTGGAGCCTTGCATAGCACAAACAGCATAACCTTGAACTGATATAGGCCGTCTGGAGTTACAAATGCATTACTCTCGATCTTTTTAGTCGAAAGCAATCTGCCAGTAGCCAGAACATATGTCTATTGCAGAAAAGTATCGGGCGCAGTGGAGACAATCGAGAGCGTAATCGATGCGGGGTAAAGGGTAGGCGTCCTTTTTCGTGATTCTTTTCAGATGGCGGTAATCCACGCAGAAGCGCCACGTTCCATCTTTCTTTTTAACGAGCACAATGGGGGACGTCCAAGGGCTCGAAGAGGGTTCAATGATTCCCTTGGCTAACATCTTGATGACTTTTTGTTGAATTACTTGACGCTCGGTGGCAGACAACCGGTATGGTCGCCGATGAATTGGATGAGAATCGCCTTTTTTAATGCGGTGCTTGACGAGTGACGTCTGGCCGAGCTGACGGCTGCCTATGTCGAATATGTTGCGGTATGAAGCCAGAAGGCGGCAGAGCGTGGCTGACTTCTCAGGTTCGAGGTCCGGGGCGATCATGGAGTGCAAGGTTGCATCCAGGCACGCGGCATCCTGCGAGTGATATGGATGATCGGGACATACGTCTGCTGCAAAACAGGTGACGTGGTCGTCAATTAAGGGTCTTAGCGTGGCGACTGATATTCCTTGAGGTGGCACTTGTTTTATAATACCGAAATTGATAACAGGTAAATTGAGGCCATGATTACGACGGAGTGTGGGGCAGTAATGTCACGTGCTAGGAGACCATCAGGAATAGGCGTCACGATATAATCACCGTCGGGCACGAGAGAGGGTGTTGCCAATTCAACGAATGTGAGAGCTTTAGGTGTTATCCGGAAGAAGTCAGTGGTGCACAGGCTGTTCGGGAGTTCAGGGTGAGAAATCAGGAGAAGAGGAAGTTCTAAAGAGAAAGTGCTGGCGGAAGAGTCAATCAGGGCAGAATGCGTCGATAAGAAGTCCATCCCGAAGATGACGTATGAGGGCAACTATCGAGCATGGTAAATAAAACAGGAACATGGCGGCCGGCAAGGCTAATACGAGTGGTACACATTCCAATGACGGCTACAGTTCCACCATCGGTGACACGGACAGCTTGTGTTACGGCAGACGTGAGTACTTTTTTTGAGGTGGCGACACAGACGAGCACTCATTATAGACACCTGAGCTCCAGGGTCAACTAAAGCCGTCAAAGAAAGACCGTCCACATGCACTTCCAGCAAGTTCTTATTAGTAGGTAGCGTCAACGGAGGATTTGGGTCAATCGCACTTGATGCAGCACTACCTCCAGGAGCTGCATAACCTATCTTTCCATCCGGGAAGATCCATAGTTAGTCAGCGATGGATAGCGGCTGCGGTGACGGTGAACGCGCGGTAGAGCGGCTGTTAGGTGCGTCGGGAGCAGGGTACTCACGGATGGGCGAATACCGACGGGGGTCCGCGTATGGCCGAGGAGAAGAAGAAAATTGGCTCCAACGGGGGGGGGGGGGGAGGGAGCGTCCAAGTGCTGTGGCAGTAGCGGGAGACATGGCCAGCCTGGTGACAGCGGAAGCAGATATGCTTGTCGTGTGCTGTTCTCCACGCCGTCGGATTGCGGGATCTAGGCAGAGAGTATGGGTCGTGGCGTGGTGAATTTATTGGCATCGGTCTGTAGTCCGGTCGGAAGACGGAGCAGGCGACAGGAAAACCAAGGTTAGCGATTTCTTGCCACACGACTGCCTGTATAACTGACACCACCGGAGGTGTTTGCATGGTGCCCTGGTCGAGGGGAACTGCATGAAACAGCGCCGGACGGGCCGCCTCAAGCTCGCGCTGAACGATGCGTGTGACATTCTCGTGCAAGGGTGGTGCGGCATTGAGATTGGTACAGCTTGACGTGACAGCTGTGTCTGGGAGCCGTGAAAATTGAGGCCGAACTCGGCTGTTTTTGGCCATTACGAAGCGGTGGCATTCCTTAATTATGATATCGGCGGTCGTGACGTTGTAATATACCAGCAAGTTGAAAGCGTCGTCCGCGATGCCCTTTAGTATGTGGCCCACCTTGTCGCTCCGGTCACTTGCTCGTACACTTTGCGGCACAACGCGAGCACGTCCTGTATGTACAAGACATAAGACTCGGTTGATGACTGTACTCGGGTGGCGAGTTCTTGTCGTGCGGCTGTTTGTCGACCGGACGGGTCCCCAAAGATGTCGCGTAGTCGGTCCTTGAAGATGTCCCAGCTGGCGAGCTCGTCCTCATGAGCGTCGAACCATACACGCGTGGCGCCATCCAAGTGAAAAATTACGTTGGCGAGCTTCATGGTTGGGTCCCATCGGTGAGACAGGCTAACGCGCTCGTATATGCGGAGCCAGTAGTCGACGTCAAGGCCAGGCTGGGTGGAGAACGTAACGGGATCACGGGGGTGGGACATCGCAAGGTACGTAGTAGCTGGCGCTCCAGATGATGGCAGTGAGGGGGGGCTATCATTAGAAGCCATGGCCAGAGACTGGACGGTGAGGCCACTGCGAAGCTTTGTGGTGAGGACTGGGAGCGTTCCACCTCCACCAAATATGTTACGGAAGAGAGACGCCGTATCGACGAGGCTGTGGATGAAATATATTTCAAACCAGCAGCAGCAGCAGCATGACCGGTAGACCAGACACCGAGCGGAGACCACTCTTCGTCTTCCTCGTCAGGCACACATGCGCGTCACCCCATAGAATCTCAATTTGCATGCATGTAGCAATACCAGCACGAGGACGGGTTCTAGGATGCACTATACTGCTCAACATCACAGACTAACACTGTGGAATACCCTATCCAGAAGACGAGAATGGGGAACAGCGTCTCCAGTGATACAAATTCTGATCTTACCTTTACGGCCAATGTCACTAGGGCAGAGTGGAGTGTGCTACAGGACACTTTAGGCAGTGGTCATCACATCAACCAACTCTCCGTAGTGCACATTCGTAAAACTACCAAAGCTCGAATAGCGTGGTTAACGGAATGGCAATCCTTTAGGGATGACCTCGACGTTAAAACCACCATAATCGACATTGAAGACTGGTTTGAGAATGTGCTCAAGATAGCCGAACGCTACACTAAGGACATACAGCTTGACGCCGATACACCCGCCGTCGACGCACATGTCTATTTTTGGGTGGCTAGAAGAGGACTTCTAAAACGGTGGAAGCGGCAAGAACTAAACATAAATTTAAGAAAACGCATTTCTCTTCTCACCAAGCAATCTCAAGATTATGCGAACCAATCGGCCAGGCGAAACTGGCACGCTTTCTGTGACAAGGTTCAGGGGACTCTAAGCACCAAGAAGACCTGGCATCTGCTACGCACACTTCTAGCCACGCAACCCTCCAAACCAGCACAGAAGCAGTACCTTCAGAGGCTTGTTCGAAACTACGCTGGTATAGAAGAACACCTCATAAAAGAAATACAAAGAAACTCTGTGGCGATGCACCCACTGTAGCTTCGATTCACACCAAAAAATACGCTGGCGCACAAAACACTGCGCTCGACCGGCACTTCAGCCAGGCTGAACTGACACAGCCCTAACGAAGTTGACCAGAAATACCAGCCCCAGAATAGACAGGATTTTCAAAAAGCACTTACGCAACCCACAGCACCTGGCCATCACGTATCTTCTCCGATATTACAACGACTGCTGGGATTAAGGAGAGCTACCTGTGGTATGGAAGCACTCGGAAATAACCATGATCCCTATGCCTGACAAACCAGTCAGCATTGAGAACCTACGCCCGATTTCTCGCACCTCGTGCGTGGGAAAGCTGCTCGAACGTATGGTGCACGACCGTCTAATCCAGTACCTGGAAGATAGTGGACACTTACCGAACGCCATGTTCGGCTTCAGGCAGCATCTTTTGACGCACAACGTGCTCTTACTACTCAAAGAAGACCTCCTTGGTCACTTCACCCATCGAAGAAAGTACTTCATACTCGGAGTCGACGTCAAGGCGGTCTTCGATAAAATCAGTCACGACGCGATCCTCAACAACATCGAAGGCATTGGCTGCGGCATTAGAACATCAACGTACGTCAGAAACTTTCTGATGGACCGTACGGCAACCGTGGGCTTATGCAACATCCACAGCAAAAGCTTCTGACATCAAAAAAGGCACACCGCAGCGTTCGGTCATCTCGTCTTCACTTTTCAATGTGGCTATGATCAATCTGCCAAATATTCTCGACAAAATACCAGATTCACAGCACGCGATCTACGCTGGGACATCACGCTCTGGACCAGGGCTTCGAACACTGGGAGACAAGAGACCTGCCAACAAACCACCGTTCATACCATCGAGCGGAATCTCTGAAACTGCGGTCTCTGCTTGGCCCCCCAGAAATCCGAGCACATCGTCCTCAAAGCGAAAACAAGAGGAAGACCCCCTCTGTATACGACGAGCCTGACCCAAGCGTAGCACTGAAGGGGCCAATATTTCCAGAAGTCGAGACCCTGCAAGTGCTTGGAGTTCAAATCTACAAGGATGGAACGGGAGGTGCCACCCTACCGAGACTCCAACGGGCACTATCACAACTGACGCACCTCGTCAAGATGATTGCGAATCAAAGAAACGGACTCAAAAAGCACGAAATGCTACGTATAATGAAAGCTATGTTCACCAGCTGCATTACGTGCGGCATGCCGTACCTGAATTTGAAAACAGCTGAAATTGAACAACTTAATATCTTAATAGGAAAGGCCACTAATGTAGCCCGGGGACTTCCCCAATGGCCTCTATCACACGTCTCCTAAAGATGGGCGTCCACAACACGTTGCTAGACCTCATCGAAGCGCACAAGAACAGCCAGCTCGAAAGGCTCAAGCTGACGCCCAAGGGGAGGTTGGTGCTCCGGTAGCTCAACTACAGCGACACGTTCATCGCCCATGCAGACCGGAAAAAGCGCATCACGTGGTACATTAGGGAGTCGCTGTCCATCGCACCTATTCCACGCAACATGCATCCCAATTTTCACAAAAGTAGACGCAAGGCTAGAGCGGACGCTATACAGCGAAAGTTCAAGCAAGACCCGGACGCCCGCTACATTGACGCGGCCAAGTATCCACATAGAAACACGTACGCTGTCAGCGTCGTAGATTCTAAAAGCCGAGATTTAGCGTCGCCCACGGTCAACGCCCTCAATTCAGACGCAGCAGAAGAATCGGCAATCGCTTTAGCAACCACAACATGTACAGACGCCGTGGTGATTTTCACCGACTCGCAAGCGGCCTGCAGGAACTTCGCTAAGGGCCGTATCTCAGCCAATTCCGTGAACATTTTGAAACGGTGAAGCACTCTTATCTAATACAATTGTATAATATGGATGTCAGTACACGAGGGTCTGCAGGAAAATGGAGCGGCCCACGCCGCTGCCCGCGAGCACGTCAGCCGGGCTGCACCCTGCCCACAGGACATCTGACCCATCGTTGAAGAAATGGAATTTGTTCAAAACACCTAGTCGTGGTTACTCCAGCAATAGAGGCTGGAGCGACGAGTATATCCTCCAATACACCCAAAACTGAGAAAAGAGGGAAGCGTGATCCTGAGATGCCTGCAAAGCAGCACATATACACATAGGGCCATAATGCATGGTCTTTACCCAACGAGATATAGCTCTATGTGCCCGCTCTGCAGCGTACCAGATACCCTGGCACACTTGCTTTGTGCATGTCATTGTATTGCCAGGCGTAATCTGCAACGACACTCGATTGATAATGAACCAGGTTGGACGAACGAAGACCTAATTGAAACGTGGGAGGTGAAGCTCAACCTCGAGGACCTGGAATACCAACAACAACTCGTCGCCAGGGCCAAGAGGGCAGTAGAAGCCAGAGGGTTCCTGGACTAAGGAGCCCTCCTACCTCAGGGTGACAACGGGCATTGCTCGGAACATCGTTTCAAAAATAAACGTTCACTTCTCTGTCTCTCTCAGTCGAACTGTTTTCACATACTTCTTGACCTGCAGACAGGCTGCTTTCATGGTCCGAATGTGAGCCTTCTGAACATTTCGTGTCTTTTTTAGGGGCAAAACTCCTTATAACGGTACCCGTTCGTCCCCCGTAGTATGTAACAAGTATGACATTTTGACCTCCAAGGTGGTGCCGGTGAGAGACTTCTGTGCGTTGTTGAACAATAAAAAATAGTGCTCAATGTACATGTCAATGGCTGCTAATGGGGAATGAGAGACAGGAGCATTCGGCTTTTAGTTAACGCGCAGGCTGCGATCACCATTAGCAGCCATCGGCTTGTACATTGAGCACTATCTGACAAGAAAGGGTTGCTACGTTATACTCCCAGGGTGCAACCTCCTTAGCTTTAGAAAGGTTTAGCGAGCGTTGAGCCGCAGTGCCATGAATAAAATGAACTTGTATATACCATGAATGAACTCGAGGTGGTTAAAAATGGGAAGTAGATACGAAGCGCAAGCCGCAAGAAAGTAAAAGCCGAATTCTCCGCCTCTCATTTCCCATTAGCAGCCATTGGCATGTACATTGAGCACTATCTGACTGAAAAAGTTTGCTACGTCATACTCGCTGGGCGTAACCTCCTTGGTTTTCGAAAGGTTTAGCGAGCGTTCGGCCGCAGTGCTATGATTACAGTGAACTAGTATGTACCAAGAACTCGATGTGGTTAAAGGTGGGAAGTGGACCCGAAGCGCAAGCCGTCAGAAAGTGTGCGTGTGCCTCTTGTTTAGTCCTTGGAATGTCCGCTGGATGGCGGTGCTTCTATATGGGAAATATATGATGAAAAGATGCGAGATGGTGGTACTTGGAGTGTTGAATAGATGGACGAACGGACGCATAGACAGATGCATGGATGGACGCATGAACGGACGCAGGGGCGGCTGCATGGACGAACGCAGGGACGGACGCACGAACAGACGCACGCACGGATGGGCTGATAGACGCATGGACGGTCACACTGACGGACGCATGGACGGACGGAAGCAAGAACAAATGAACGGACAAATTCTCCGCCCCACTCTCCATCATTCACTCCGTGGATTTGCTGCCATTTTTTGTTGTCTTTCAAAATGCTGTCACAGGCAACAGCGTTTTTAAAGACATAACATCGCTCGCACTTGCTGCTGGTATCCCTGACGCAATCCTGAGGCGGATAGTACTTGACACGCAGATGAAGAGGCTGTCCACGCTCAGTCGAGAAATGCTGCCTCTTAACGATCGCATGCACGATCTTCTCACGGTAGCGTGGCGAGTCCTCAAGTTCCTGGTCAACTGCCTCGTCTTCAGTTCACGGATGCACAGTTTGTCGATTGTTGAATTCTATTGCAAGCTGCTGCCGCGTTTTTCGTTTTCTTTGAAGGCACACGATGACCATCTTAGTACTTGTTCACAAAATCAGTCAGGATGTAGACGATTCATCGGTGAAGTTCACTTCAGTGCACCGTTCCACAATAAACACAACTTCGTTAAAAAATGCTGTAAAGCTGCTCAAGGTGTAAAAATTTCTAGTGAAAGACAACAGAAATTTTGAAAAACGCTAAAGAAAGCAGCAACTGCTGAAGCGAGAAGAATAACATCGTCGAACACAAGAAAAACATACAAGACGTCGAAATTATATAAAAGACCTGCGTCGATGGGAGTTGCAGAAGTGTGACCAGACGAAAAAAATCGCAGCATATCCACGGACTGAATGCTGATTGTTGGAGCGAACAATTCGTCAGTTTGCCCGTGCTTCCGTCCGTCCATTCGTTCTTGCTTCTTTGCGTCCATGCGTCCTTCCGTGCAACCGGTGGTGCGTCCGTCCGTGTGTCCGTCCACGCGTCCATCCGTTCGTTCGTCCGTCCATCCGTCTCTGCGTCTGTTCGTGGGGCCGTCCTTCCGTCTTTCCATCCGTTCTTCGGTCTGTCTGTCCGTCCGTCCGCTCTCTGCCTGTCAGTCTGTCACGTCAGTGCGTCCGTCAGTCCGTCGGTCTATCAGTATGTCCGTCCATGTACCTAGTGTACACTCCAAGTACCGCTATCTCATATTTTCATCCTCTACATATTCATATATACAAGCACCGCCATCCGGCGGACATTTCGAAGACCGCTGTCTTGGGTATGTCCATCCGTCCATCCGTCTATTTAGTGAACACTCCAAGTACCGCTGTCTCACATTTTTGCATCATGTATTCATCATATACAAGTACCGCCATCGAGAGGACATTCTAAGGACCGGCCGCTCACTCGGGTATGTCCATCCGCCCGTCCATGTATCTATTGAACACTCCTAGTACCACTATCTAACATTCTTTATCATTTATTGATCATATACAAGTACCGCCATCCAGCGGACATTCTAAGGGCCGCTCTCCCGGGTATGTGCCACCAGTGGTTACATGCGACAACGGGACGCACAGGCCACGTCATAAGGAGCTTCGCCCCTAAAACGTCCATTTCACCGAAAGATGCCGGTGCCTAAAAGAACAATGGTACTGTTCATGCTTTCCTGCTTCTGTGCATACAGTTGTTGGTTTTTTGAAGTAATTTGTTGCTTCTTGAGGTAATGATTCTGTAGCGAAATTTACATACGCTTACATCCAGGGCTTATACTTTAGGAGTTTAGGACACCTTTCATAAGGCACCCTTATGACAGGATAAGGGAGGTTTCTGAAACGCACTTTGTACTTGTGTTATAATTTGCTCGTATTCTCGTAACTAATCTTACCGCCATAAGTTAAGGCCTTTTAATGAATATGGTGGTTAATGTATGTGTGTGTGTGCGTGTGTTTGCATGCGTGCGTGCATGTGTATTCTGGCGGTTCTGCAAAGTATTCTTCTGACCCAGAGATGCCAGCTCAAAGTAACTCTTTATCATTAAATTGGCCCTCAAAAATCCATAGATTGCAAGAACAAACCCTAGATTATATTTTTTTGTCATTATTCCAGGCTAGCTGACTCTTAGCCAAGTATAACATAGTGCGCTCTGGGGCCAAATTCTTCTGAATTTCGTTGAAAGAACAGTCACAGAATTTTAATGAGTACTCCAAGAGTAGAGGAACTGTTTTACTCTCCCGAGAGTTCTTTACCTCCGTGTTGGAGTGGGGCAGAGCTGGCCACATAACTAGTCTTTCCTTCAAAGCGGGGTAAAATAGACTGCGAT